AGACCCTTCAGTAGCTGTTACCGACATCACATCAGAGACAACGGAGAAGCCTGAAACTGGTAAGCAAACTAACATTTCCTATAAAATTGCAAAATACAAACTTAGACCTTAAAAGGTACGGCATGTAAAAGCCCTCTATCTCATTGATATCATCAGAAATACATTAGATTATAACTACCGTGGAAGCAATGGTAGTGAGGTTGCCGTCTGATTTCCGTATCGTACGTTATGCAAATCCCAAACGGAAGGACATCATTTGAAGTCCAGAGGGCACCCTTTCTAGAAGATATGCATACATGCAATGCAAGCAACACAGCAGATAGCATTCAGAGAGATGACAGTATTTGCATCTTCTTTCCCCAGATGACAAATCAACCGTGACACCAGAGAACACAGACACACCTACGACAGGTAAGAAAAATAAACAAATTGGTACTTCAAAAAAACAAATAAGACAAATTTATTAATTATACAGATGAAAGAATGCATGCTTAGTGCCAGAGGCTCTTTTAGAAGGCTGTGTAAAGCAGAACAACAAAAGTAGTCTAAAATCATCATAAATAAATGACTGCTTGCTTTCTAGAAGGCACAAATAACTTCCGAGGCAAATTAAAAGGCTGCATGGCTAGTGGCAGATGTTCTTGTAGTAGGCTGTACAAACTGAACCACGAAGGTGGCCTAAAATGATCATAAGTTTATGTCTGATTTCTTTCTAGAAGGAAAGTCGTCTGAGGCTAGCGAGACCGCGGCGTCAGCGGAGACGGTTTCAACTGGTAAGCAATCTCACCTTGCGCATAACATTGCACATTTTAAATGCTCAAATAACTACTGATACAAACAGAAATGCTGCAGTCATAGTGCCAAAGGCTCTTTTAGAATGCTGTGCACAGAGAAAAATGAGATTGGCCCTAAATGATCGTTGTTGTATGCCTGTTTACTTTCCAGAAGGAAAGTCGTCTGAGGCAAGCGAGACTGCGGCGTCAACGGAGGCGGCTTCAACTGGTAGGCAATCTCGCCTTCTGCTTTATATTGCATACTTTCCTGCTCAAATAAATTCTGAGACAAATTGAAAGGCTGCATGCTTAGTGACAAAGGGTCTTGTAGTAGGCTGTACAAACTGGACCATGAATGTGGCCTAAATGATCATTATTGTATGTCTGTTTATTTTCCAGAAGGAAAGTCGTCTGAGGCTAGCGAGACCGCGGCGTCAACGGTGGCGGCTTCAACTGGTAAGCAATCTCGTCTTCTGCTTTATATTGCATACTTTCCTGCTCAAATAAATTCTGAGACAAATTGAAAGGCTGCATGCTTAGTGACAAAGGGTCTTGTAGTAGGCTGTACAAACTGGACCATGAATGTGGCCTAAATGATCATTATTGTATGTCTGTTTATTTTCCAGAAGGAAAGTCGTCTGAGGCTAGCGAGACCGCGGCGTCAACGGTGGCGTCTTCAACTGGTAAGCAATCTCGCCTTCTGCCTTGTAATGCATACTTCCATGCTCAAGTAACTTCTGATACAAATGGAAATGCTGCGAGCTTATCTCCAATGGCTCTTTTAGAAGGCTGTGCATAGAGCACCAAGAAAGCGGCCTATACTTGTCATAATATTTTATACTGTTAACTTTCCAGAAGGAATGTCCTCTGAGGCTAGCGAGACCGCGGAGTCAACGGTGGCGTCTTCAACTGGTAAGCAATCACGCCTTCCGCATTACATTGCACATTATAAATGCTCAAATGGCTACTGACAGAACTTGAAAGACTGAAAACTTATTGCACAAGGGTCATTTAGATGGCTATGCAAACTAAACCACGAAGGTGGCCTAAAATGATCATAATTTTATGTCTGTTTACTTTCTAGAAGGAAAGTCGTCTGAGGCTAGCAAGACCGCGGCCTCAACGGAGGCGGCTTCAACTGGTAAGCAATCACGCCATTCGCCTTACAGTGCACATTTTATATACTAAAATAACTACTGATACAAATAGAAATGCTGCAGTCATAGTGCCAAAGGATCTTTTATAATGCTGTGCATAGAGAACAATGAAATTGGCCTTAAATGATCGTTGCTGTATGTCTGTTTACTTTCCAGAAGGAAAGTCGTCTGAGGCTAGCGAGACCG